AGGTAGTCATCCTGGATCAAGGAGCATGTCTGTGTGTTGCCTTGAAGGTTCCTTTCTCCAGGGTTCCTGAGTACAAGCCAGAGAGCAGGGGGCCAGGGCAGAAGCTGGGACCACCTGGGAGAGGAGTCTAGGCCAATCCATCTGCATTTCTCACGCAGGGGACTGTCGACATGAAGACCCTCCTGTTGTTGGCCTTGACCATGGCCTTTGGTAAGAGCGAACCCTGACCTCTGGCCACAAGGGGGCAGCCCAAGATGAAAGCACCCTTAGCCCCAGCTTTCCTTCCCATTTCCACAGGCCCTCCCTCAGTGGGTGGGAGAGAGGCCCTAGCGGGAGGGGGAGTAGCAGAGAGGGGCAGAGAAGGAGGGCACATGGTCCCAGGCCCCATTCCCAGGAGATGTCCTTCCAGGCCTGCTGCAGACCCACGGGAATTTGCTGGATTTCCAGAAAATGATTCGGTTGGCAACAGGAAAGGATGCTGTATCCAGTTATGGCTTCTATGGTTGCTACTGTGGCTGGGGCGGCCGAGGATCCCCCAAGGATGCAACAGATCGGTGAGGCCACCCAAGCCCTCCCACCCTCTGCCCACTCGTGGCCCCCGCTGGGGTGGGAGCTGCCAGGCAGGGCAGGTGCCCATCGTCACAGAACCCCAGGAGGTCCCAGCTGGAAAAGCAGCCAGCATGTTGGAAACTCTGCTCTAGACCATTGAAAAGTCATTGGGTCTCTGCCCAGGGTCAAGGGACAAGACCATGGGGGAACAGGCTCCCTGGAGCTGTGGGGAAGCAGCCCCAATCAAATCTCCTCGCCCCAGGTGCTGCGCCGCACATGACTGTTGCTACAGACGTCTGGAGAAGCAGAAATGTGGCACCAAGTTTCTGCACTACAACTTTGCTTACCGAAATGGCCAAATCGTCTGTGGTAAGGACGTCCTACAATAGTGATGGCGAACCTTGTGAGCTCGGCGTGTCAGCATTTTGAAAAACCCTAACTTAACTCTGGTGCCCTGTCACATATAGAAATTTTTTGATATTTGCAACCATAGTAAAACAAAGATTTATATTTTTGATATTTATTTTATATATTTAAATGCCATTTAACAAAGAAAAATCAACCAAAAAAATGAGTTCACGTGTCACCTCTGACACGCGTGTCACAGGTT